GAGCAGCTGCAGACCCTGGGACAATGCAGTCTTGCAAACCCATTCTTCAACGATGCACATAATCCACAATGCTTTATTTCTTCAATTGTTTCTCTCTAGTAAACCATTTGCATATTAATTCATTTTAAAAACTCATGAGACTTTTTATCTAAATTCAAACTGAGTGGATTATTGGCACTGACCACGTAGCCTCCTTGAAATTGCCATGCTATATTTGTAAGCATAAGTTGCAAAGGAATTTGAGAGAATCTTTTCTTAGTAATTGGATGTGGAGTTTTAATCAAACTAGGGAGTGATGTTTCTTCCAGACAGAACTCTCGGCTCCCGTTGGGTGGCACGCGTGTGTCACTGGACATGTGTGCCCCCTGCTAAAATCTCTGCAGTCTGTGCTGCTGAGTCCAGCTTTATAATCGGGACAAGGCACTGTTTTTATTCTGCAGTGAACAGAAACCAAGAGAACACCCTCTGGAATATGGCATGTCGAATCTACATTGTAAGAAATCTAACACATAATGTAAGATAATAATAACCCTTTGAATGGTTATTTAAGAATATCATTGTTGCAGACTTGGGTTGCACTCCTCTAGTGCTAGTACTTGGGAGGCTGAGGCAAGAGGATCACGATGAGTTTGAGGCCAGCCTGAACTACACAGTGAGATACTGTCTCAAAAAGAAACAAATGAAAAGAATATCATTGGCAACCCTCTTGGGCCAGTCAGAATATTTTCAGTTTACAGTAGTCCAACAACTGCTTTGGAAGCCTCTGAGAGCTTGGGCCCTGGATACTGGAGATGAAGTCCCAGTTCAGGAAGAGGTGGTGGTGTCCTTGCTGCCCTGGCCACCAGCGACAGGGCATCTGTTCCCCGTGACACTGCTGCCTAGCTACTCTGCAAAGGCTAGGTGATCCATGCCGTTGGGTGGCTGTATGTACAACAGGATTCCTGCGGATCCTCGAGGGACCTGTACCACCAAGAGAGTCTGCTGTCACTTGAGTTCCCTCTCTGGGTTCTAGACCTTCACAGAATTCTTGTTACAGATGCTATTTTCTACTGAAAAGAAAAATCAGCTCAACATGGGAGTGTGTGAATCTGAGAATTCTTAGGAGATAATGAGATGATAGCAGTCACATTCAAGTGCCACATTATAGCCCACCAGTGTTCTAATATGCAGAGCAAAGAAGTGATATCTTTCAATACAGGAGAATGCACTACATGGAACTCCCAGCCTGCAGAAATAAAAGTAATGATCAAGCTCCGCTTCTTCTGAGATGTTAAGGCCATTTCTTTGTAATTACTCCACAGTGGAGAAAGTAGCTTTCAGAATTGCACAAACTATACTAAAAATTCTCTCAAGGTTTTGGAGAGGAAAGACCTTGTAAAATTAATCACAATAAAGCTACATGTGAGTCTGTTATCCTGCTCATTCCACAATAATATACTATTTTGAAATACCAACCTGTGTATCCCTGACTACGCATGGCTTAAGCTGAAAAGAAAAACAACATTCAGCCCATCTGAAGGGAAGGACAAAGGACACAGATTTACCGTCCATAAAAATGGTATCATGTAGTGAAACTCATCGCCTCAGTCAGAAATCCAAATGACTGTCGATTTGGCGAAGAGTGTTACCACTTCCTGACAGCCTAATTGTGCTAACAGCTCAAGAAAGACGGTTACTATTGCTCTTTAATTGCCTGAAGGAACAACAGGCGCCCCGGAGGCCTGACCGGATGGTCTCATTTATCACGGTCCATGTGGCTCCCTCCCTGGGGACCCTCTCCCAGGTCAAGCATCCGCTACTGGCCATTATTTCCCAACACACTGACTGTTCTGATTCCAGGTTTGAAGTCACCTCTTCCTCGCCCCCACCCCCATGCACAAGCTGCCTCGGGGACATTATCTCAGCTGTGGAGGGACAGTGAGTCAGTGACTTTAACCCTTCAGCACCATCCTCTTCTAGGCCTGCGTCCCAGCTCCAGTGTTTCTGAGTCTTAAATGTTTCTCTTGGCATCGGCCCTGGGTGATGTAGGATCGGGGTTTTTATTTATAGGAACATTCTGGTGATTTGCTTGTGGGGAGAAAGTCCCTTTCAGTAATTCCATGCTTTCAAACTCAAGTTCAGATGTGTTTGGTGAGCACTAATTGTAATTTATAAGTAGACACAGGGCGTATTTTAGAAAACGGAGAAAAGTCAACTTTCCCAGTTAATCATGTTCACTACCTGTAAATCACAATGGGCTAGAAAAACAACCACTAATGAGCGAAAGAGCTCCTACTTCCCGAGGAACCTCTCAGGAACAATGGATGGGGCTTCTGAAAGGACGCTTTTGGCAGTTAGTCAGGGTCTAAATCTTTGTCACCGGGTGTCCTTCGTCACCAGGGCGTTCCTGAGATGCTCATCCCTGGGGCCCTGGCCTGCCCTCTCCCTGCCCAGCTCTCACGCCCACCCCTGCCTGGGACCTGGTGGCTCCACTGTGGTGACTGCAGGATCCAGCTGCCAGACTGTTTCTCGGGGGTATGGCAGGTGTCTGCTAGTGACTTGACTGTCTCGTCACATAGAGAGTGGACGGGGCACAGGAGGTCCTGAGTCTTAAGTAAGCCTTGTGGCGTATTGTGACACTTGTGTGGCAGAGTCACCGAATTGGTCATGTTGTGCACATTGTTTCTCTGGGAAGCTCTCGAGATAGATGTAGCAACCACACCCGTTCTCTCTCCCATCCCCCACCATGTCCACGTACTCCCACGCACACAGGCCTGGAGTTCTTGTCTCACTGCAGAGTAATGGGCTTCCCTGGTGCCAATGGGCTTTCCAATGTCGATACAGAGCTCTACTTTTTAAATTTTATTGTCATTTAATACTACTTGTTCTCACTAAGCTACAATCCATAGTACAACACATATTTGTATAGAACAGGTAAATGCACACATTTTGCTTAGTCATTTGTTCAGTGTAATGGCAGATATGCCACATTTTAAAGATGAAAAGAAAAACTCTGTCCTTTGTAAAACAACTGTAGGAATCAGCAAAGCTCAGCAATGGTGCTGAATAGATTCTGTTGAAGAAATTTCTTCTGGTTTTAAACAATTCCACACTTTATTTTTCATATACCTTATAAGAGATATATTTTAGAGTTCTATAAAAACACATATTCATACTTCTGACTCTGCAGTAGTGCTAAACATCAGAAAATCCAAAAAGTTAAAGGGAACGAGGACACCGGGCATAGTGGCAGCAGCGTGCATTTGTAATCCCTGCACTCTGGGAGGCTGAGGCAGCAGGATGGCATGTGAGCACAGAAAGCAATTTTGGGGACTTAGGGAGACTTTATTTCCAAATAATAAATACCAAAAGGCGGGGGTTATAGCTAAGCGTGCAGGCTCTGTGTACAATCCCCAGTACCCCCTCAAAAGACGAGGAGCTCAAAGGGAAGGTGGGGAAGGAAGAAATGCACGTTCTATGATTTTTGTCCACTTGGTGGATCTGGTGGAGCCCCACTTACCTGTCAGGAGAAAGCCCCACCTTTGTAGGCTCATCATTGAAAACGTCTTTGTGTTTAGCACTAATTTCAGGGATGTGACCCTCAAAACGCTTTGTGGGCCAGTTTCTGCAAATCACTTAAGAGGTGGGGTGCCTGCAGGTTTGGGGAGGCAGGACTGTGCATGAGGCCCCAGGAGTGGGGGAGGTGGAGTCTCTGTTCATGTGAAGGCCACTCTGGGGCTAAGGTTGGTACTGGTCTATTGGCAAGTACCAGTGACCTTGGCCACCAGCCGGAGAACAGAACAGCTAGGAAATGGGTCAACTTGGCAATCAGATTTGGTATTAAATTCTGGCTTTCCCATTAATAGGCTATATGGCCTTTAGCTTATTACTCTGAGCCTCAGTTTCAACATTTGCGAAAGGTAGAGCAGTTATTCCTCACATCCAAATGTACATTCCTGATATTCAGGGATGATGGCTGCATGTTATTCCCTTCCTCTTCACCACTAAAAGAGCAGGGGAGTAGGATAATAGCTGCAGTAACTTGGTTTCGCTCCCTTCCCTGGGACAACTGGATAAACCCTAGCCCACCATATTTTCAGGCAAAGTTCTTCAACATCATCTGGTCTATCACCAGAGAGAGAACAAGTTCCGAGAGAGTGCCCAGGCCTGGAGAGAGACTCAGTGAGCAAGCTCCCGAATACGGTGCCCTGGCATGGGCAGCAGGTCCAGTGTGACCGTGCATTGTTCTTGCCCTCTCTGACTCACTGGGAACTTTTTCTTTACTCTCATCGGACACAAAATCCAGTTTGAGATTTTAAGAAGCTGATATGTAATCCATAATTTTATTAACAGGTGATTTTTCTTTAACCAGAAGCACTCACCATTGTACTGCTTTGAAACTGTCATTAGCTTAGACAATAAGAAAGTGACATTCATTCAATCAGCCAGGCAAATTCTATTAGCCAGGGTTCACAAAATCTACTGACGGTGCAAGGAGTTAAAATGCTGTGAGCCAAAGACCTCTCATATCCTTTTAAATTGCCTTAAGTTTGTGCAAAGTAAAAGGTAGATACTTATTAAAATGTCAGTGCAACAGCGAAGAATTCAGTGGCTCAGTATGTTCTAAAATAACCCTGCCCCTTCCTATAACTGTGTAATGTTTGAATACAGAGCGCGGTAATAGTCTGTGCTGGAAGATGGAACCCACTGATTATGACAATGTGAGGTGTGATATTTCCTTGGCTTTTCCCCCAGTTCACTTCTGGAGCATGCTCAAACCTTTGGGTCATTTGCAGATACATATGTACACTAGACCATGGCATCAGATTTTGGACAAATAGTGTAGAGTAAAAATATTAAGATGCAATGTGGTTTTTTAAATTCATAGTTTCTCAATAATTAGGTACTAGAATACTTCAGAAATATTTTGTAAATATTTTGAAAACTATCTTGGTAGTGGAAATATTCTATGTAGTAACAATTTTATAATTGTCTTTTTTGTCTCCTCTTCTCCATTTTAGGGGCAGCCTGGTCCTCAGGTAAGTGAACTCTTTTCTAACACATTCATCCAGTATGGAGGTTTCACTGCAGCACTTTTCAAAGAAAAAAAGAAAGCTATGAACTAGTAGTCATGACACCATATAGGAGACCACATTTTTCCCAGGAATGAAACTTGGGAGCCTCTCCAGAGCTGTGTGAGCCCCATCAGCTGCTGGGCCAGATGGCGAGTTTTACTGTGTGTCCTCACAGAAAGCAGAGCTCTTATCTGATCTGGACCAGCACCATAGGACTTTAGCAAAAGGCAGAAAGACTGAATGTTGGGCACGAACTGGTTTGCATTAAGTCCCAACTAATCATGTACTAATAATGTTGTAAATCCACAACAAGATCCAAATCTGATTATTGGGACTGTGATCCTACTGGCTTCATTTGATTTAATACAGACGGATATTGACTGTGTTCTACATTTTCAATATAAACCAACTGCTGCAGACATGATTTATAATTAAGCATGAAGGCAGTCAACAGGAAATCTTTTGAGCTCTAAATCAGATTGAAGAAAATGAGTGAGTTTTCAGGCAGGGCAAAATGTGTATGAAGAAGGAAATACAAGAGAAAAAATGATTTTCTAGAAATAGGGCGACAAACTCAAGCACAGTTATCAGTACTCATTGTGCTGTGTGGGATGCTATTGAGAAAGGGTGACAGTTGTTAATCTTTTACCTTAAGCATTGTAATAACTATGAATAATGCAATTTACCAGGCTTCCATCCTTTGCCTTAATATGCTGAATGCTACTTTACCCCCAAATTGTTTTATAAATAAGCCAATTCATGGCTTATTTATAAGCTTTGCAGTCAGCATCTACAAAATTATCTATTATGGGCTCAATTCAATACCAGAGCACAAGAACATGATTTATAGTTCTTACGAGCTCTCTGTATAGGGATGCCTAGTAAGGTGGCAGAAATTGAGCAGAAATTCCTATGCACTGCCCAGGAAAGCAGTTCTCTGCACACTAAGCTCATAAGAATAAGTTTGACCCTGCCTGGCAAGTGCAAGGTCGGGAGTTCGATTCCCGGTACCGGAGAAAAATTAAAAAAAAAAAAAAAAAGAATAAGTTTGACCTTTGATTTGTAGTGATATCTAAGCATATTCTCATTATTTGTCATTTCCACTCAGATTCCAAGTTAGTTTGAATTAATTATTAAGGGAGGGCATAGAAGAAAGTTACATCTTGTTTCCTAAATTTGTCATAGCTGTTTTATAGTGGGATGAAGACAGACCGGTTCCTTGCACACATCATGTTATTTAATGCTCACAATAGCTCCAGGGTGTTGTGTGTGTATGTGTGCTCATATAGTCGCACATTCAGAGGAAACAGAGGCTCACCTGAGTGAGCCAGCAGCAGGGAGAAGGCAAGGCTAAATCAAAAGCGCTGCTATCCCTGGGACATTGAGCCCTTGGGAGAAAAGATGAGACAGCAGATGGTGTGTTGTTTGCGAGAACGTTATGATCTTTAATATATTTTAGGTTCATTTGGGACCTCTGTCTAGCTTGGACTACTTCTCCTTCGTGCCAGAGCAGTTCTTAAAGATTTGGGTGCCAGTAGTTTGAGAGAGATCCCAGGAAACAGGAGCAAGTGGAGAAATGATCAGGAGGAAAGGGGAAGAGACAGACAGAGAGAATACGGATGAGTGACAGAGAGACAGACAGTCAGACAGAAGGAAAGACTAATTGACTAGTTACTGAACCCAGGAAGCATTGAGCTACATGAATTGCCCAGGCTGACCCCAAACTTGCAGTCCTCCTGCCTCAGCCTCCTAAGTAGCTGTGCTTATAGGCATGCACCACCGTACTCCACTCTTATTCATCTTACAACTTCAAATGCGTGCCCTTTTACACCTCTCCATTCCTGCCACCAGCCCCCACCCTATCTTAGAAGTTCCACTTTTTAAGATTCTCCACATAAGCGTATGAGTGCAATCACAGAGCGCCTCTCTATGCCTTGTTCACCATTTTGCTTAGCAGTGCCTGCCAGGTTAATCCGTGTGGTCACAAATAGCAGGATTTCCTTCTTTTAAAGGCTGAATAACTTTCCATTCCTTTCAGGTACCGCATGATTCCATTCATAGATCAGCGCCACCTCTGCTGATTCCATATCTTGACTATTAGGAAGAAGTTCCACATATAAGGGAGAGGGACTTGCATTTCTGTGCTTGGCTTATTTCACACATAATGTCTTACAGGTTCATCCAGATTGGTGCCAGAGGCACAATTTCCTCCTCTGTCTTGTCTCAATAGTATTCCACTGTATCTATCTGCCACACTTTCTCTATCCTTTCACCATTGGCAACACAGGTTTCTGTGTCTTGCCTGCCGTGAGAAGTGCTTCTTCCAGATACTGACTGCCTTTCCTTTGGGTACACCAGAGGAGTGGGATTGCTGGACACAAGGTAGTTTCCTGTTTAATTTTTTGAGGTTCCTCCATACTGTTTTTGGTAATGACTACTTTCCTTCCCTTTTTTCCACATCCTCTTGCCTTTCTGAGAGTAGTCATCCTAACAGGCACGACATGATCTTTCCCTGTGGTTTTGATTTGCATTTCTCCTACGATTGGTGACATGGAGCACTTTTTCATACACCAGTTGGCCATGTCACATCTCAAGTACTGGGGTTTTATAACTGCAAATGGTCAATAAAGTGTCAGCATCTCCAGTCTTCCAGACTCACCACTCCAAGCCCTGACTTCACTCCGGCTCATATGGGAAATCCCCAGGCTCAGACTGCACCGTAGAGGGGAAGCATTTGGGGAGGGCCTTAGCCAGCCACAGGCATCAAGCATGGAGGGCTGGGATGGAAACTACTATCAGCCAGTATCATCGTATCTGAGTCAGCCAGGTAAAATTGTCTATCGTGGTTCTGAAGCCAAAACTTTGAGTCTCAATCTGTTTACCATTGAGAGTACAAGAAAATCTTGTTTCTTGCCTGACATTCAAATCCTCTCATACAGCTTATTTTCTAGCCTTATCTTCCTTTAATTTTTTATCAATACTCTTTCTGGGCTCTATGCTTCACCCAAAGAAAGCCAATGCATTTACTTTTTTAGCCTTTTTTTAACCTAATCCTTAGACACACTCAGGTTTCTGTACATCCAGATGTGACCTCCCTTCATTCTGCTTCAAACAAGATGCTTTTCCTGCTTTCCAGAGTGCAATTTCTCCTTTCTCTGGATTCCCCGTGGCACTTTACCCATACAACTTTTTGTATCACCTAACATTTAAAGTGAAGGAGAGGGGCTGGGGATTTAGCTCAGCGGCAAATGCGCCTGCCTGGCAAGCGCAAGGTCGTGAGTTCGGTTCCCGGTACCGGAGAAAAACCAAAAAAATAAAAAAATAAAAAAAAATAAAGTGAAGGAGAATAGTAAATGCCCAAATCTGACAAATCATGCCTGAAATCCTAGCTGTGCTACTTAGCAGCTGTGCGATCTTTGCCTGGTTGCTCAGCTACTCCAAGTCTTATTTTTCCACTTCTACAGCACAGATGATAGTGTCTCATCTCAGCATATGGTATGAGGGTTAAAGTCACAATGTACGTGTAACACGTCTAACATGGTGCCTAGCATGTGGCTAACACTCAGGAAATATTAATTCTCTTCCTTTCTTTTCCTCTTGCAGTTGCATGATAGTTATTTCTAAAATTCTTCTCTCTTTGCTAATAGTTTTATCACCTTCAAGGGCAAGATCTATGCTTTCTTTCATGTTTATTTATGTCTGCAACATCTAACTTAGTCCTTGTACACAGTAGAAGTTAAGCAAACATTACTGAGTTGTGAATGGTGAGTTAAGAACATAAGGGAAAGGAAGCTGGGGGAGAAAGAAAGTGACCAGCTGTGCATTCTAAATGCCCTGAGGTCTTAGCTCACGTCATAGACAATGCCATGTGAAACACATCTTTCAGGCTTCCAAGGGCTGAGATTTTACTGAATATTTCTCATTTTCAATATCTTGCTTTCCCATGATCTGGAGAGTTTTGATACCTTCATTTTCTTTCATTATGGTGATTTATTTATTTTGATGTTCAATCTTTGATGAAAATGAATAGCAGCAACTCATGGCCATACTTATTTTATTTTATAGTAAGTTATTTGCAGGGTGTAAGAGCGAGCTTTCATATTTAACAATCAAGAGTATTAATAGAAAATAGTTTATGGTGATTTGCACGGTGGCATATTGCCTAAACATTAAGAACATCCCACTCATAAATAACCTAACACAAATGGGAGGAACTAGTTGTATTTAAAAATATACTTGGGTCTCTGTCTTGTACTGGTCATCAAAATGCACTGACCATTTCTTTGGCCCAAATAAGCCCATTTGTGCATTCAGCAGTGGATACTGAAGTAGCAGTACAACGATGTTAAGTGAAAGGGAGCCTTCCAAACCTAGGCCATTTTTATTGCATAAAGTTTTTAGAGTTTCAAAGCCTTTCTCATAATTCCCCTGTGGAGTTGCATGTGAACAGGCGGGAGCTATCATTCCCCTTGGGAGCTTGGAACACTAGCGTGGTGTGCATGTTGTCATTCTGTATTACCCAGCGAGAAAAAATGTAGAGAAAACCACCAGCAAATATCCTCAGACAACTGCACGAGGAGGCGTGCCTTCCATCTGTGGTTTGTTTGTTTGTTTGTTTGTTTGTTTGTTTGTTTGTTTTCAGGTACCTTTGAAAGGAAGTAGAAAATGTCACTTTGCCTTTTTCTCCAACTCCTTTTGGTTTCTTTTCTTAAAAATAATTTTTGTTCTGATATTGTCATTGCCATTTCACAGTATTTTTCCTAACATTTACAAAACTCAAGCCTTGGATGTCTTGTAAGGAATTATTTCTGGATAAAATATTATATTTTGGGAGCAGTATTTAACTTTCTATTCATATGTTTTAAATTTTATAGTAAGATCCTTCTAACCTAACACTTTAGCAATTCCCATATTTCATGTTTGTGTTCCAGCGCAGCCTTCTTAGATTCATACGCTGTACCTTG